AACTCCAAAAAAGCCTTTTTTTTTTTTTTTTTTTTTTTTTTTTTTTTTTTAAAGAAGAAAAAAAGAAAATCTTACTGACTTGTAACATATGTTAGATATATGATCTCAGCTATTTGTTATATAATGAAATATGTTATTCACATCATTCTTCATTGTATTTTAGCTGTTGTAACAAATTGCTGATGACGATGAAGAGGTTTATTTTGTGATAATGACTGACTGCACATTTCCCCACTTATCACACAGATACTTCCCAAAAAGTTAAATAGACATGAAATAGAATGTGAGTTGAATTTATTTTATGTAAGAAGAAAAAATAAAACAATTTCTGCATTTTATAAAAAGAATACAGTAATTTCCCTTGGACAGCAGTCAATTATGCAGTTTAGCGATCATTATACAAAAACATTTGGCCACTGTAATGGCCAAACAACATCATATGAACATTAAAAATGTGAAGAAAAAAAACTGTGCTGGGTGCCTAACATCATGTCTTGTTATTGCTAACTGATTAGGGACCGCATGCGTCTGCTTCACACATTTCCTGCCCTCGAGTGGAGACACTAAAATGCACATGCTTCTCTTCCTCTGAACTGTGGGAAGTGGATATGCTGTTAATGTTGTGCCATAAATTTAAAGTGTGCTTAGCGCTCCACACACATCCTTGGGCAAATAGCGGTTGTCTGTGTGTTTGCATAGGAAATGTGCATGTGTGTGTGTTTTTGGGAGGATGTGGCTGGACGTGCAAGAGAACAAGATGGAGAGGGTGCGTTCGTTGTCTACATATGTAGTTATTGTGTGTGTGTGTGTGTGTGTGTACCTGTTTTTCTATTCTGGTGGGGACTTAAACCTGAATACACACAGACTCATGGGGACTCGTGTCACGGTGGGGACCTAAATTGAGGTCCCCAAGGGTAAACAAGCTAATAAATCACACATAATGATGTTTTTTGAAAATCTAAAAATGCTGCCTGCAGAGTGAAATAAAAAGAAACAGATGACTAGAAACAGACCAGATGAAAGAGCAATAAGAGTTGGATACAGGACTGAATAGATTACAGGACACAGTGATGAGAGGATCTGTGCTTGAATGAATAAAATGAGTGACTGAATGAGTTAGTAAGTTGAGGAGAAGGTCATAAGTTAAAGTCTTTATTTGTTTGTGTGACAGGAGTATAAAGTGTCCAGCTTCGAGCAGCGGTTGATCAGCGAGATCGAGTTCCGTCTGGAGCGCTCGCCTGTGGAGGAATCTGACGATGACGTTCAGCATGATGAAGACACTCCCGGAGAGGTCGCACCGTTCTTCGATCAGAAGCTCAAGCATTACAAGGTCTTCGAAGGAATGCCTGTGACCTTCAGCTGCCAGGTCATCGGCAACCCAAAGCCAAAGGTGAGAGGTCATCACCCATGCAGTTAGCTCTCTTAGCATGTTTAATTTCTTGTTGCTTGTAATCAGATCCTTGTCAATGACTTCCATGAAAATGCAAATTTTGTGTTTATGACTGTAATCTCAGCAGGTAGTTAATTAGTAAAACAAAAGTTTACCCAGAAATGAAAATCTAGTTTCCCTCAGGTTATCCAAGATGTTGATGTGTTTGTTTCTTCATTAGAACAGATTTGGAGAAATTTACATTTAGATTACTTGGTCACCAATGGATCCTCTTGCAGTGAATGGGTGCCGTCAGAATGAGAGTCCAAACAGCTGATAAAAACATCACAATAATCCACAAGTAATCCACACAACTCTAATCAATCAATTAACATCTCGTGAAGCCAAAAGCTGCGTGTTTGTAATAAAGGGGGTCTGAATACTTTCCGTACCCACTGTATATTTTTTATATATATATATATATATATATAAAACTAACTGGTGTTTAACAGCTGATAAAAGCATCACAATAATTCACAAGTGATACACACGTTTTAAGGGATTGTTAGAGAGGTGACTGGAATGATGGAATTGGTGGTTTATCATCTGTGACTAGGCTGGTTTCATCAGAAGTTCTGCTCTGCTTCACTTCTAAAATTCCAGCCATATATGGCTGTCTCGCTTTCATTGTGTCTCTCTCTGACTACCATGAGACCACAGTAATGACTGTGTGATGACAGCAGACTTAATAACAGAAGTGATGAAGAAGAGAGAAAAAAGAAACAACGGTACAAGCTTTGGAGTGTTGCATAACCATGTGTATATCTGTGTGTGGTTGAAGGTGTACTGGTTTAAGGACGGAAAGCAGATCTCAAAGCGCAGTGAACACTACCGTATCAGTCGTGATCCAGACGGCACATGTTCCCTGCACACAGCGGCTGCCTCGCTAGATGATGATGGGAACTACACCATTATGGCAGGCAACCCAGCGGTGAGATGAGATTTTTTTTTTTGTGTTTTTTTTTTAATTAATTTTTTTTTACACATGCAACACAAAATTCCCTAATAGAACATGCATGTCTCAAAAAATTGGAGATGTGTCATACATCCAAATTGCAGAAGGCGATAATTTCGCAATAGTTACTTTGTGTTAACATGCTAGCTACGAAAAATATATCATTCCTTTTATCGGAGTTTGATCTCGTTTGATTGTTTTTTTTTTCCTCACATTCACGTGCACATACACATATACGCACTTTCTCAAGTGGCTAGTCAGCATGACCAGTGTTTTGGTGGAGACGGATAAACATTGGTAGTCGGGGAAGTGACTGACTAGAAGCAAGAAAAAATCTACAGCCTTTGGAAGGGTCAGAAGTTCATACACATTCAGACACATTCCAGCTTAAATTGACCACAATCCAACCCTGACAACTGTATACTTAGTTATGTGTCATGCATGTCACTTTCTTTCATCTTATTATCGCTAAGAAAAGCATATACTGTCAGTTTCTTAACTCAAATGTTTCTCTCTATGTCTTCTGTCTTTCTGTCTTAGGGGAGAGTGAGCTGTACTGGAAGGATGATGGTCCAGGCTGTTAACCAAAGGGGGAGAAGTCAGCGCTCCACACCTGGACATATCCGCAGGTATATAAGCACTGTTTCTAAACAGTAGGTCCAGGATCAGGTTTGCTCTGTGGGACTAGCACTAATAGAGGGTGTGTCCCATGTAAAGAACACCTGTATATTTTGGACAATGATGCAAGGACCATGTTAAGATGTCTTTTGTGCAGAATAGAATATGTGAATCCTTTTGAATGGGTGGGGTTTCCTCTGGATTAGATATAATATATCTGGCCATTCAGGTCTTTGAGGTTTTTATATGTTTGATTGACAGTGTCAATAGTCTCTGAAGTCAAAGCTGTGTGCCAACTTATCATTAGTCGTAAAACCTAGATATGATTTCCTACACAAAGTAAGCTCTTCATTAAATTATTTAATTAAGAAAATACAATAAAACCTTTTTTCTCCACAAATGTGGTGCTCTTTGGTGTCTCATTACTTGTTCTCATTCTTTCTTTTTTTTAATACATTACAGGCACAATTCTTTTCTATGTTTTTTAAAATGTCACCTACTGTACTGTTATACCTTTTACCTTGAAATAGTGATTTTTATCCTATCCTATCGTTACTGACTATTTTGAAATGGTACAAAATATCATTATTTTTGGTATTAAATTGGTATTAAATTTATTGAAGCAAAATCCTTTATTTACCAAAAACATTAATATGCCAACCCTGTTACCAAATCTGATAGTGTTTTTTTTTTTTTTTTTGATATTTACATTTGATTATTCACAATGAAAACATGAACAGAATTGACTTTTTTTGTTTGTTTTTTTCCCCAGACCACGCTCAAGGTCCAGAGACAGCGGTGATGAGAATGAGAATATTCAGGAACGTCACTTCCGCCCACATTTTCTGCAGGCCCCCGGTGACCTTATTGTGCAGGAGGGTAAACTCTGCCGCATGGACTGCAAGGTGACCACACAAGCACTGCCTTACTTTAACACCATAAATGTGTGACCATGCTGACTGTACATCTCACTGTACATAACGCTTATTACATGGTTACTTAAAGGCATAGTTCACCCAAAACTGAAAACCCTGTAATCATTAACTCAACCTCAAGATGCTCCAAACCTGTGTGACTGACTTTCTTCTGCTGAAACCAAAAGAAAATATTTTGAAGAATGTGGGTAAGCAAACAGTTGCTGGTCCACATTTACTTCCATAGTATTTAATGATCTATAGTATGGAAATCATTGGGGACCAACAGCTCTTTGATTACCAATATTCTTGAAAAAATAATTTCATACAAAATTTTCACACAAAAAAACTTGAGGGTGAGTAAATAATGACAGTTTCTTTTTTAGGCGAAATGTCCCTTTAACGAGTAAATAAACGCATGGGTATTTCAGAGGCTAGAGGAAACATCCTTTGTGTGATATATGGGAAAAGTTTTCTCCCTCTGCATTGTGACGAAAAGGGAAAAAAATCTTAAAGTTGGTGTTTCATCACTTCTAAAATGATGAATGGACTTGAGTGAAGAGCTGGGATTATCCTCCGTTTTCTCTCTCTTTCTCATATTGAGTTTTTTTTTTCTTTCTGTCAGATATGTTTCCATTGGCTTACTGCTGTCTCTGAAGACTGTCCTCTCTGTCCTCTGTTCCTCCCTCGGTCTCTGCCGCTGTTTTGTCTGACCCATATTTCTTTGTTTCCCTTCATTTGCCACCTTTCTCATGACATCCACACCACCCTTTCATATTTTTGTTTTAGAACTTTTCATAAATTTCCGTCTGTCTGTCCATCCATCCATCTATCTATCTGAATGAACTATAACTATACATATAATATTTAGCCACACAGTTTGACAATCAACAATCAAGGCTTTTTCAGTGATCATTTGGAAAACAAACTTCAATTTTAAATTATTTCAGTCCTTGTTTGTGGAAAATGCCTTTTGGTTTCTCTCAGTCTCTCAGTTTTCTTGTTACTTCAATGTTTTTCATTTATTTTTTTTCTGATTTATTCTACCGGTTACCTTTTTATCTGTCCTTTTTCTCTCTCTCTCTCAGGGTGTTGTCTAACTGTAGTTTTACATTCTGTTTCTGTCCCATGTCTGGCTGTGATCTGTGTATATCAGAATTAAGGCTCGCTGTGACATAGAGGGATTCACATGCTATAAAAAGACCCTGATTAGTAATGCACTCATGCACAGCGACCTTAATGTCAATGGTATTTATAGAACCGATTTATTTCCTCTGGCTTTGAGGCTTTCCAAACTTTCCAGGCCACAAATGTCCCTAGATGCAGTTCAGGAGGTCTAAAATCAAAGGGCCTTTTTTCAGTTCGAGTTCTCTGCTTTTTCACTTAAACAGTCTGTTCTTTCAATTCATGAACGCACTCAAGTTGGCTGTAGTGAGATGTGTGATGGACATTGTAAGCATCACGCAGGGAATATGCACACCCAGGGGAACGGCACTTGAGCAGTGTGTTCACAAACATCATGAACGTTCTCAGGAACATCGCATCAAATGCAGATGGACAAACGAGCATCTCAGTCCCTCTCGGCCCCACGCGTAAACACACAAACACATGCACACATTCATAAACAAATATAAACACACAGACACATTGACTGGTGGTCTGTTGCTGACACACCTTCGGGTGGAGCAGGTGTTGTGTTTCTCAGGAATGTGAGAGTTGTTGAAAAAGAGCTGAGGCATTGTGCACAGACTGATTTTCCATGAGAACCACACACATACAGCCACCAGATACCCTAAACCAGACATAAACACTAGTATTAGGGTTGAAAATACTTTAAAAGAGGCAATTGCACCATAATTGACATTTTATAGAAGAGTGGGAAAGAACAAGTTTTGCTGAAAACAATTGATTGACTTGTCTTTCAAACATAGGTAAGTGGCCTGCCAACACCTGACCTCATCTGGCAGCTGAATGGCCAGACCATCCGTCCAGACCCCTCCCACAAGATGCTGGTGAGGGAGAACGGGGTTCACTCATTGGTCATTGAGCCTGTCACTAGCAGAGATGCAGGAGTTTACACGTGCATCGCCAGCAACAGAGCTGGACAGAACTCATTCAACCTAGAGCTCATTGTTGCAGGTACACAGTCATTATCATCTGCACAACCATAGAGTGCAACTTTGTAATGGAAGACACTGTACTAAGATGTATTGTAAATTATAATTATAAAATGTAAATAAAAATAATGAGATGGAAAGAATAAGATGCATGCCATTCTGGTGAAAAAATAAAATAAAATGTACATTAGCGAAGAAAAGGTTGGGGTTGGTAAGATTTTTTTAAAAGTCTTTTATGTTTACCTAGGCTGCATTTATTTGATAAAAAATACAGTAACAAATCGGTCATATTGTGAAATATTATTACAATTGAAAATAACTTTTTTTTTAATGTAATTTATTCCTGTGGAAAATTTGAAATTTTCAGCAGCCATTTCTCCAGTCTCATGATCCTTCAGAAATCACTCTAATATGCTGATTTGCTGCTCAAGAAACACTTCTTTAATCATCAATGTTGAAAAAGTTGTGCTGCTTTATGCATTTATTTATTTTGCAACAAAAGTAAAAAAAAAAGAAAAAAAAAGCATTTATTAGAAATAGAAATCTATTTAAAAAATGTTTTAAATGTGTCCTTATTGAATACAAGTATTTATTTATATAAAAAAAAAAAACTATAAAATATCGATATAAAATGCAGGTAAAAATGTATAATTTGTATCCTTTTAATATGCATAAATATATTTGTATAGGAAATATTTTCAAACTAATATATAATGTTATATTTTATATATATTTGTTTACATCAATACGTAGTAGTTTAGATTTTTTATTTATTCATTTCTTTTTATCTTGTTAATTTTCTTACTTTTTCTTTAGCCAAAGAGATGCATAAAGCTCCATGTTTCATTGAGAAACTCCAGAACACAAGTGTCGCTGAGGGGCACCCAGTGCGTCTAGAGTGCCGTGTGTCTGGAGTCCCATTCCCACAGATCTTCTGGAAGAAAGAGAACGAGTCCTTCACTCATAACACCGACAGGATAAGGTACTGTAGGAGACCTTGGGCAAATCAAAGCCCTCCTACAGCCATTCCAAACTACAGTTTAGCCAAAGAACTACTTTTATTTTATGGTATATTATATTTTATCAAGTTAAACACCGTTTACTCCGTAGATGCATTTAAAAACTCAATGTGCACTACTAGCCTGTATATGGCAGCTGTTAGAAGGGTGGTATTTAAAGTGCCTACATGTGTGTGTATACTGATGAAAAGACCCTTGCAAAAGAAACATACACACACAGTAACCTCACCACAGGCGCTACCGTCTACGCCACCTCAGAGAGACGAGAGCAGTTACTCACAAGTTGTAAAGTCTCCAGTCATTGTTTGTGGACACGGTTTGCTCATAAGGATTCAAATCAAAGTAATATGGCTGTGCAGCCTATATAAACAATCCTGGCATCTCATTAAAATCCTTTGTTGCTACTTACTCATTCTGATGTTCAATTCTATTTCCCAGCATGCACCAGGACAACTTTGGTTACCTCTGTATGATCATCCAGCCGACTCTGAAGGAAGACGCAGGCTGGTACACAGTTTCAGCTAAGAACGAAGCTGGCATCATCTCCAGTACAGCACGTCTCGACGTACACGGTTAGTCAAACACACAGCAGAAACGGATCTTAGGAATGCATGCAGCAATGTTGAGTTATGATTGGTAAAAGACCAAAGTACACTAAATACAGACTAAGCAGTTTAAGTGGTTTATCTGATCAATGTGCTTTCATAATTAATGAAATCTGTCCAATAAAAGCACACTCCCTTCCTCCGCCCTATGTTGTTCCCATAGCGATCCCATCAGCCAGTGTTGTGTGTTTGCCATCAACAACAGGGTTAACAATACTGTTGATGCATTACCTAAGGTTAAAGCAACAATGGACTGGCAGCCTGTGTACTGGAGTCGTATGAATGTAGTTTTAATCTCTGTCATAAAATTTTTAAAACTCAACACATCCAGTCTGGAATGAATCGAAACTAGAGTTTGCTCAACGCTAATATTTTTGGCTTTTGGTACAATATCAGCTTTGATACCCCAATATTGATATTAAATTGATTTGCCAATATAAAAACTCTGACCAATAAGTCAATGATTATGTAATAAAAGCTATAAATTTTTAAAAGATCCATACTGTTGTCTTAAAATATATTAAAAATAAAACACTAAAAACTAAGATTATTAAGTTTTAATGCTACAAGTGAATTTAGGCATCATAGTATCATGATGTTTAGTATGAAAAGAAATCATTCATTTTGAAATTTGTTAAAGATTACATGTGTAACAGTGTTATTAAATGAATAGTGTTTTAAATATTACATTTAAAAGAGCTGATGGCAAATGAAGATGCCAAAGGTAAACTAAATGTAAAAATGTAAAATCTAAATGTAAAAATACAAATGTAAGGTAACAATGTATTTTAAGGTGTCCTTGTTACAATGTAATTTAATTATACATTTAAGTACTGAGTAATATTAATTAACTACATGTACTTACTATAACAAAGAGTGAAAAATTTAAGGGGGTCTGAATACTTTCCGTACCCACTGTATATATAATTGAGGAACTACAGTCATTATCTAGACATCAATATTACATCCTGTGAATTCTTTAAAGTGAGAAACCATGTTCATCCTCGCCCTTTCCTTCCCTCAGCCCAGTGGCAGCAGACTCACACCCCGAAGCCCAAGAAGGTGCGTCCATCAGCGAGCCGCTACGCCGCTCTGACAGAACGGGGTCTGGATGTGAAGGCAGCCTTCTTCCCAGACTCCAATCCTCTTCCTCCTGGCACCCTAGTGGAGAGTGACGACCTGTAGAGACTAGCATGGAGGATCTGACCTTCGAACCCCAATCCCTTGATCCAGCGTACTCCATAATCCCCACCCATTTCCCAACAAAACCCTCTTGCTGGGGTCAGATGAAAAAGTGATCGATTGGCTTTGAATAGCGATCTAAGCATTTCCTCAGAGATTTGGATTGTTGGTATTATCACTTCTTCTCCGTCTGAGGAGGACCATTTGCTTTACTCTTATTTCAGTTGTTTTCTGAGGGGAAGTGATGTGGGTGCTTAAGTGAGGTCATATCCTGCTTGTAAACAGACTTGATGGTTCGCTGGCGCACTTAACACACACACACACACACACACACACACACACACACACACACACACACCCCCGCACG